ATCTTCGACGCGCTCTTCGACAAGCCGCCCTCGAAGCTGCGCAAGAACAAGTCCTCCGCTGCCAAAGTGCCCGTCAAATTCAATAAAAAGAAAGGTAAATACGGTTCCTCACCAGTAAGTTTTATAAATCTATCGTAAATCGATGATTTCCTTTTACATAAATAATGTTTTTTTATAGGAATCAAAACCCAAGTGGGAGTCAAAATCGACGAGGATAATCTGAAAATCTTGGATGACCTGCCGAGCTCCGCAGTCGAGATGCAGGTCAAGAGCAAGGTGAGTACAGTTCGCACTGAACCTCGTCAAGGTATATCAAAAGATGATAGCTAAATGGAGTGTATATTTGCAATGTGACATGTATTTCAGTTCTTGAAGAAGCTGAACCGGCAGGAGCGCGTGGTGGAGGAGGTGAAGCTGGTGCTGAAGCCGCACTACAACAAGAAACACGTCACCAAGGAGGAGTACAAGGATATACTGCGCCGCGCAGTGCCCAAGGTACACTCTCTATACTAATATATTATATAAAGAGGAAAGAATTGTATTTCTGTATGTATTGAAATAACTCATAAACTACTGAGCCGATTTCAAAAATTCTTGCACTTGCACTTGCACTACACTAAAACCTACGTTACCAGTGACTAACAGAATGTAGCCTACATTTTTATTCTTTTAGTTTCTGCTAGTTTCCTATAAGTGTTCGTGCGAAAAAGGATTTTAACAAAATAGTGTAGACAACGAGTTCAAATCTCACATGCCATTTTTTTTTTCGAGTATACTATAAAAATCATCTATAACACAGTTTATTTATTTTCAATAAAAATGTTTGTCTTAAAACGCATCAATAGATGGCGCTATTCATCTAGTCTCAATCAGTTGGTTTTTATCATTTTCACTTTAATTCCATTGCAGATTTGTCACAACAAAACGGGCGAAATAAATCCGACCAAGATCCAAGCGCTAGTTGAGGCGTACGTGAAGAAGTTTAGGAAAAAGCACAAGCTGGGGCTGGCGTAGCGCGGGCGGTGCGCGCACTGCGCAGACCTCGGCCAGTGTGCGCAGTGCGCAGATGCGCAGAGCGTGGGCAGTGCGCAGAGCGTGCCCAGTACGCAGAGTGCGGAGAGTGCGTAGTGCGTAGTGCGCAGTGCGCAGTGAGGGGAGTGTATCATAGTGCCGGCAGACAATCACATTATTGTAATTATAATTTATGTATGGTCACTGTATCTTACGTATGTTTTATTTAAATAAAATTAATATAGAGTTTACTTGAAATATAGAACTTTTTTAAACGCAATGCATTTTTATTTTATAGAGTGAGAAAAAAATGTACAAATGTAACATAGATTGCTTAGTCGAAAATATGTCGATCCCATGAAAGATATTAAGTGGAGTGTCTCGCTTCCCCTACATCATTACGAAAGAAAACCACTTTCCATTTTATCTAAGCAAAGGTTTCGAGAATGACGTATATTAATTAGAAAAATGATGGCCCGTGTAATGGCTAAGGCTAAAATATCTAGGTTTTACATGACATCTTACATATATTTGTAGGGGAAGCGAGACGGCAATTTTTGTTCGGCATCGGATCTCACTTCTTTTTGTAGGTTATAGTACTTAAATATTCGACGTTGAAAACCAATTTAGCTTGAACCCTTTCCTACCTGAAAATTGTTTATTCTAGAGATTTATTAGTCTCTATAATACTCTGGATTTCTTATTTTGCCCTTTAATTATAAGTTGACTTCAGTATACTATATTAAACTTTAATGGTATTTTTGCAACTGCCTGTAACAATCACCGTCATTTTATTTCTTGGATGACAGTTTAATTCCGAAGATATTTGGTGGTAAAATTTTAAATTGGCGTACAGTTTTGTCATAAAACAGTATTTTGTTATTTAACTGCGTTAACTACTGGACTATAAAATGAAATTATTACTTAAAGTAGTTCTAGAAAGACCTAATTTAAAATAAATTGGAACACCTGTATCACCCGCTATTCCCTTGGGTTCATTAAATGAAACAAACAATTATTTTCAAACATTTATTTATAGAATAAAATTGACAAACTAAATTAATACAACTTTACATTATATCGTGGTTTCAAAATCAGGGTGTAGAGAGCCGAAAAGGGATACAAAAATGAGAAAAAACTACAAAAAAATTCGAGTAAAGAAAACAATTTGAAAATAAAAATCATTTATATTAGTACATTGATGTGACAAAAAAAATGACAAATGTTAGAAAGTTTTATATAATAACAAAAAAACATTTTAGTTACATTAGATTTTGAGGTTAACTTTCAAAATATGAAAGTAATCTTTGGTAGAAATTCTTGTTTTAAATTCACAGTAACAATTTAAATATATGGAATAATATTGCTTACATAATGAACAATTTGTTCTGAAAAAACAAGCACTAAATTACAATTAAAGAAGCACTTTTGACTTAAACTGCAGATTCTAGACACAGTAATTATATAAAATATCTACTAAAGGAATCCTTTACATTTTTATATCTAGTAAACACTACTTTACTAATAAACAGTAATGACGTCATACCGTTAAAAAAGTCAGTTCTCAAATTATCTGTTTTTTCATTTTTATTATATTTATTAAAATTTGGAGGAAAAGCAATATTTTATTATAGTATTAACAAATTAATTAAGAGATTCAGAATATTTCTAGCGTGTAAAATATAAGGATTTATTTACTACACTAAGCTGTTTCATTAGTGCGGGCTCACACGGCGGTGGCGAAGCCGAGGCGCTTGTTGGCGACGTCGAACTCCGTGTAGTACTTGCCGATGAAGACGTCGCCGAGGATCCAGAGCGGGCCGTTGGGGGGCGGGATGTCCAGCCCCATGAACCCTGACAGGCACACCGTCTTACCGAACTGGGACACCTGCAGATTACAATATGTTGACTTGCTTCAGCGACCACGTAATAACATCAAATTAAAAATTAAACATTTCCTTGTTTTAATAATGCAGCCCATTAATGCGTTAGTCATTTAGCTTTAAAATAATTTTATTCATACAAATGCGAAATTTGAGATCAGTGGATTGAATGAATCTTGTTAAAAATTGTCACAGATGTCACATAGTCTGAAGGAGACATAATTTAAGTTTTTTACAGGCAGTAACAGTGGTAGAGCCAGCTTTAATCTTCGCAGTGTAGGGCTCGTCCCCAGCAATACCAGGACCACACAGAAGACAGGCGTCAAGTGAGAGCAATTCCGAGTTTCGTTTGACGACTGTGTTACCGGAGGTCTAATTGTAATCCCTTACAAGAAAAGTTGAGAAGGGAAAGTGGCTTGCTCGATTTTGAAATTGTAGCGCCCATAGAGCCCACCCACTATCCCCATGTACTGGGACACACACCGGATGTGCTTGATATTGCAATCGTCA